AGGGTTCAGCCTCCTGATGAGTCAGTGAAACTCTGACGAAACAGTTTGTCACAGCCCCTCGTTTGTTGTCCTCTTCTCCCTCTCTGCCTACGGTTTACCGGGAAGTTCTATTTGACGATATATATATATATATACGGTTTACCGGGCAGTTCTATTTGACGATATATATATATATATATGTGACGATATATGCAGGTCCCAGGGCTCGATCCCTAGTCATCGCCTTACCTGTGTACAGTATTTGTGTCGACCCCGAGAGTAGAACCCGTGTCCTGTGTATTTGTAACAGTTGGTAGGCTGTCGTAGGGTCCGCAGGTGGCAGGGGTTCGATCTGTAGACCTGTCGAGTAGAGGTCTTAGGGAGTTCTAGAAGTCGTAGCTGTAGAGCTTCCGAAGAGTCAAGGTCGTAGCTGCTACAGTCCTGAAAGGTCAAGGTCGTAGCTGCTACAGTAGCGAAAGGCAAAGTCCATGGACTTCCGGAAGGTCCTAGCAGCTGTCTCTTATACACATCTAGATGTGTATAAGAGACAGCTGCTACAGTAGCGAAAGGCAAAGTCCATGGACTTCCGGAAGGTCCTAGCAGTGGCCTTTCGAAGTTGCCCACGTTTAGGTTGAGGCAAGTGGGCAACTGGTGGAGTCTACCCGTGCTGAGTCAGCAATCCCAGTCCCAGTCAGTCCCAGTCCAGTCAAGCAAGTACCGCATGGGACTGTGTGCACTACGGGCATGGGAAAGGGCCAGACCAACGAGTCACAGAAGTATAAATCAAAGGGCAGCGCCCAGCCATTCATTCATTCCTGCGTGAGCCGTGCGGAAGCGCTGCCACAGCGACTTGTGCGAGGTGGGCTGCAGTGAGCCCGAAGACGAAGTGGGCGAGAGATAAGAAGCTTAGCCATAGCGATAGGTTAGCAGCGGCCATAGCCGCCATAGCTGTAGATAGAGTTCAGTGTGTGTGTGTGTGTGTGTGTGTGTGTACAGAGTATCGCGTGTGGGATATCCAGGGTGATCCTGTGTGTGCGAACAGAGAGTTGTGTGGGCGCTGAGTTGCCATAGCCATTGAAGTGAACTTGTACCTGCACTGTGTTCTTGGCTACCATATCTCTGAGTTTCGAGTGGGCGCTTGTTGCCAGTTTGCTGCGCCCCTGTTTGCATGCATGCAAAGTGTGAATGAGAGCGAGTCTGATTGCACTTCGTGTATTCTGGGTAGGTTCTTCCAAGGATGAGGAATTGACAACCCATTTTGTGGCGAGCTCCCAATTTTTGTGAAAGGATATAGAGTAGGGGGAAGAGGGAGGGAGGGGTAGAAAATGAGTAGTGGGAAAACAAAAGGGAGCTGCTGAGAATTGGCTGCTGTGTAGTTTCTCAAAGTCTCCCGCCCATTTCTTTTCTTGGTCCGTTGTTTCCACCTTTTTGCATGATCATGTGACTTTTTGTATTGTATATTAATCTTGCAGCTCCGAAAAATGCCCCAACGGCAGCGGATCTAGCAGCAGGCAAAGCAGCGATGTCACAGTTCATACTTAGGCTCGATTATGAAGACTGGGAGGTGCGTCCAGCACTCTTGCTCCTTTTTTTTTTTTTTTGTCAGTGTGTAGCCCCTAGTGTTATTGTAACTCTCTGATTCCCATGTTCGTTTGGACTCATGACCTGTTTATTGACAATTGGGTGTGTGGGTGATGCAAGTCATCCACATCGGCTGTCTCTAGCTGCTCTCTATTCCTGTTTGTTAATATGGTTGCATTGTAATATGAAATTATGAATGGCTTACTTGACCATTTGAGTATCCTTCATCCTAACAAAAGCCTTCAGAGCCAGCAACCAACTGTCCAGATTCATCTCCTCCTTGTCCCCTGTGCAGACGGAAGGCAGATTCATCGTGATCTTGGTTGATTTGCTAGGGGTTGACGGCCCTGCAGCCTCCAACACAAGTGCAGAAGATGCCAGTGCAGAGACCTGGGATTGCAGGGACGGTGCTGCAGGGCCACTTGTCTGTGGTGACATGCCAACTGTCTTCCCCCGAATAGATCACCCAGTCACTGTAGCTGTATTTTGGGGAACTTTCAGTCTGGATGCACAGGTTATTACTGGTCGTTCTATCTGGGTGAAGATGGTAGAGGCCAAACAGTACTGATGGGATCCTACTTGATGGGACCTGCATCTACCAGTCGTGATCGTACTAGATGGGACCTGCATCTACCAGTCATGATCGTACTTGATGGGAAGTGCGCAACGTATCAAAGTCATTGGTTTATCATAGAGACGATTGCGGGCAAAAGAAATTCCCATGGTGTGACGGGCGGGGTGTACAAGGCCTGAGTACATATTCACCGCGGCATGCTCCCACTCCGCTCTGGTCAAAGGAGACAAACCTGATAGATGGGACAACATCGGGGATGGTGGTGCTGGGCCACTTGTCCGTGGTGACACGCCTACTGTATAGCTGTATTTGGGGGAACTTTCAGTCTAGATACCGGGATAATTACCGTGCATTCTGTTTGGGTGATGATGGTAGAGGCCTAACAGTAGTGATCGCACCGAGGAGCTTGATTGGATCTGCGATCCCTTTGTTGGAAGTAATGCCTGAACTTGTGCAGTCAACTTGTCGTGGAGGACCCTGGAGGTGCTGAGATCATGAAATTTCTTAGCTTGAATCTGTGCCAGTGGATGGAGACTCAGCATATTCCAATACAGAATGTTCTCTCCGTCTCTGATCCCATTTCTCTTAGACAAGCTGCTTTTCCATTACTAAGTACTTTTCTCTCCTTGACCTCTATTCCGCCTATACTAAGGATTGATCTAAGATAGTCCTGTGCCTTTCTCCTGAAGTCCTTCAACTCTTCTACATCCTGGTCGACTTGACGCGCTTGCGTCTGACTTCGTTCTGCTCATGCTCTGTGAGTTTAATTTGCACTATCACTGCCGCCTGGCTGCTTACAGGTGTAGCCTGCAACACTTCGGACTTGGTTGGCCCACCCGACGTGCAAGCAGGTCCAGACATTGCCGCTTGTGGCACACGGACGAGCCTCTTTGCTTCCTCTTGTTCAGCCAAGAAGTCTTCCAAGGTTAACAAGGTGATTGGCTTCATCTGAGCCTGTAACCTACCGTCTTCACCTGCATGGAACACCTGGTCATTGTCACTGCATCTGGACTGCAAATTGCCCCAAATACAGCTATAATCACCGGGTGTTGTATTCGGGTGAAGACGGTAGTCATGGATCGACTCGTTCACACCAGAAGAGAACAAAAACTGCCGCAAAGATGAAACTCAATAGGAGAACGATCTTCCTCAAGGTATGAAGATAAGAGCTCGGTTGGTACACCCGTGAACTGATACCCATGAACTGATGAAATACAGACCTGAGTTCGAATTCCGATGGAATCAGATGAGTGTGAGGATTCATCCCTCGCAAAAGGCCGCTTGGCCACGGCCTGCCAATGCCAAAGGGGGCCCCGTGAATTTGACACGGGGCCCCCAACTTTGTCATTTCTACATTGTGGGCGTCAGATAGTTAGCATGCGCCAATTGGTTACAAAGGCCCAGCTCGTGAGCATCAGAATCGTCCGAGAGCCTTCCAGGCTCTTCTATGCCTGGACGTGGAAGCTTGCCTCTCGGCCAATCAGCAAGCAGGGAACAAGTCACAGCCTATGTGGGTGGTTGGGGCGCGCCTAACTGTTGTGGGCCCAGGCCACTGTCTGAACGCGCCTGGACGCAGACACTTCGGTCCGAAGTGAAGCTACTGGGCACTCGGCGTCCAGGCCCAGGAGCTGGCCAGAGCAGTTCTTACTTTCCATAAAGGAATGTGAGAGCCCAGCCAGCAGCAGACGCTGGCCTGGCAATACAACGCGGCCACGCTGCTGCGTCGCGCATTGGCGGGCTGCCTGGGCGCTGGCCAGAGGAGGGCGCAAGAGGTGAGTGGCCGCTGCGGTGGCAGTGGGCGCATGGCGGCCATAGTGGGGCTGCTGGGGCGTGGGCTGGTGATGGCGAGGGTGGTCTTCGGGTAGGAGGCGCATGCTGAGGGAAGACAGGGGGTGATGAGGGGAGGAGAGAGACACGTACCTGGTGTATGCTGGCAGTCTGCATTGGCAACGTCGTCACGTGCACTGGTCTTCAGCTTCAAAGTGATACCCGTTGCATGAACGTAGAGTAGGTTAGAGTCTAGGCTGAGTATATGGGCTGGGCGCTGAGCGCCAATCGGGACGAGCGACATTGGATACTGTGTTGATGTGGCGAGAGAATGTCGACGTTGACATTTGAGTTCATTGTATTGCTCTTATTTGGCTTGTATCTCGGTGCATTGTGCTTTCTGCTTGGTTCTCGATTATCTGGCCTACAGCGTGATTTTGCAATTCGGATATCTGTCTATCGCTCTCGCTCATATTCCTTGCATGAGTGAGAATAACTGTGAATTTACCTGGGGCAGGTCAGTTCAAAGATAATATCTCAAGGCTGTTGCCCTTTTGAAAACTTAAAAAAAGCGATAATAGGACTCGTAGATAAGTTTAGGAATACTTGTTGCTCCCCAACCACAGATTATCGCACTAATTGGTGATGAAGTTGCCATTTGATCACCGGCCATGCGGAGGAACCACCGACAATACAATGCCGGCACTGCCGCAAGCAACGACAAGCACCATTATACTCTCACCACTTGGCGCATAATTCGGGATGCTTCCACCCACCTGCTCTCAACCCAGCGGATGGGTGTACTAGCGGACGAAAAAGTCAACGCACTGTGGTAAATAAACAGTCGCCGGCATAGAACGTACCTAGATTGCCAGCTAGGATGGCTATGGTCAAATGTTGCATACCCGAACGGTGCAGACCAGACCAAGAACCGACCTTTCTCCCCAGATACAAGATAGCACAACGGAAGGCTTAAATACCAATGATCCAATCAATCAAGCTGCCATGCAGACCAAACATGCAGACCAAACATGCAGACCAAACATGCAGACCAAACATGCAGACCAAACATGCAGACCAAACATGAATCATCCTCATTTCATGGTGTGAAGGGGGCTGACGCTCACACGGGAAGAATGCGTCAGTCCCCGATCATGCACAGACGAAGAAGAGGGGGATTAGACGAAGGGGAGGGGGAAGATGGAAATGTCATCAACACCAAGTCTTCGATACAGTCCCAAATAATCCCTCGCCAAAGGTCTGAATCCCGATGCTGAGTCTGAACCCCAATGTTGTCAAATCCCCATGTCGCCCATCTCTCTCTCTCTCTCTCTCTCTCTCTCTCTCTCTCTCTCTCTCTCTCTCTCTC